TTTTTTTTTTTTTTTCCTGAGAGAGTTCTGGCTCGGCTGCCTAGGCTGGAGTGCAGTGGCATAATCATGGCTCACTGCAGCCTTTGTCTCTCAGGCTCAAGTGATCCTCCCACTTCAACCTCCTGAGTAGTTGGGACTACAGGCATATGCCACCACATCCAGCTAATTTTTAAAGTTTTAGTAGAGGTGAGATCTCACTGTGTTGCCTAGGCTGGTCTTGAACTCCTGGCCTCAAATGATCCTCCTGTCTTGACCTTCCAAAGTATTGGGATTGCAGGTGTGAACTACCACGCCCAGTTCAAAATCTTAAATAGGCAAACTTATCTGCAAATGTGCCAATTTAGGAAGCGAATAAACCAACAATTATTTAAATAAGGGCTCTTTTATCACTCACAAGGGAGTGAGCACCTAATCCACATAAGAATACTGCAATAAACAAGGAATAGAAGGTCCCTACCCTAGGGGACCTTATTTTTCTAGAAGGAGATAGTAATAAACTAACAACATACTTTGAGATAGAAATAAGCCTGCTAAGGAAATAAAGCCAGATGTTGTGAAAGAGCAAAGGGTGAAGGAGGGGACGTGAGAACAGAGATACAGAATTCTTACATAGGAGGAGTTCAGGAGCATCAATCTAGTTGTGGAGAGGTATCTAAGGGGCTTTAAAGTCCCATTTACTTAGAAGCACACTATTTTCACATGCAGTTTACGTTACAGATCGACAAAAGTAGTGGTTCTCTATTTTTATTTATGCTTCATCTTAGAGAAAATGTCAATTATATCAAATAATTATATTTGTCATCAGGAGTGGCAGGAGGGGGCCCACAGCCTGGGCAACATGGTAGCTCATGCCTGTAATCCCAGCACTTTGGGAGACAGAGACGGGTGGATTGCTTGAGCCCGTCTAGACCAGCCTGGGCAACATAGTGAAACACAGTCTCTACTAAAAATGCAAAAATTAGCTGGGCGTGGTAGCACACATCATTAGTCCCAGCTATTTGGGAGGGTGAGGTAGGAGGATCTCTTGAGCCTGGGCAGGTCGAAGCTGCAGAGCCGTGATTGCACCACTGTACTCCACTTTGAGACAGGGTAGGCAGAGTGAGATTCTGTCTCAAAAAATAAAAATTTTAAAAAAAGGAGTGGCAGGAGGAGAAGTGTTGGAGGGAGGGTTCTGAAAATCACTCCTTGGCTTTGGCCACTGTGGATCAGAGATTAACTCTCCTTATACAAGTCGAGAGTTCTTGTCCTCCAAGAGCTTAAAATTAAGTTTGCATGACCATATAAAAAACACATTTATACACCGGTTAGCAAATGTTGGGAGAAAAGACAGCTATTGATCCTTCACTGTGTCTTCAGTTGTGTGATCTCAGGAAATTCCCGATTTGACGTGTTAAGTACTACCGTGTGTTTCATGAAAAATTCAGCTTGAGTTTATTTAGCCTTTGAAAAGCATTAGAACAACATATATGACAAAGTGTTAATATCCATAAAGGGGCCGGGCGCCTGTAATCCCAGCACTTTGGGAGGCCGAGGCGGGCGGATCACGAGGTCAGGAGATAGAGACCATCCTGGCTAACACGGTGAAACCCCGTCTCTACTAAAAATGCAAAAAATTAGCAGGGCGTGGTGGTGCGCGCCTGTAGTTCCAGCTACTCGGAGGCTGAGGCAGGAGAATGGCGTGAACCTAGGAGGCGGAGCTTGCAGTGAGCGGAGAT